CTGCGCCACCAGGGAGGGCCTAATCTGGAATACTTTTAAGTTAAAAGTAGTTGTCCTTACAGAGTTGGTTCAGAGAAGACTTTATATTATATTTTCCTGTAATATTTAGAATTATTCTAACAAAATATGTTCTCTTAAAATCAAGAAATAGTCTTTTAGAAGCATGTGGATCTATTGGTTAATTTCTTGTCCACTAGAATTCTGTAGGGAAGATAATATTACTGTTTTTGGCAGCATGCAGTATAATTAATAATGAGTAGGAAGAATAAAATTTTCACTTTGTAGAATTAGTAGGATTTATAGCCAGGGATTTCAGAATCCTGTACTTAGATGTTGCCTGACTCATGGTGCTCACTAATGAGATAATTAACTTGCTTATATCTAAAATTATCCTTGTCTTGGTTATATCTATTATTTTTGATGGTATTCTCAGTTCTCTCTTAAAGAGAGTGTGAAACTGTTAATGGCTTATGTTCTCTGGCAGATGAACTCCCAGCTAGCCCGGATGATTCAGATAACAGTGTGTCAGAGAGCCTGGATGAATTTGATTACTCTGTGGCTGAGATTAGTCGCTCATTCCGTTCACAGCAGGAAATATGTGAGCAACTCAACATCAATCACATGATCCAAAGGATCTTCCTGATTACTCTGGACAACAGTGAGTTACAGAGAGCCACTCTATTCATTACTCTTCCTGAGTTAGGAAGTTGCTCTAGGAAACCTGTTGTGTCTCATGGTTATAGAAATCTTTCACACTCCCTAGAACACAGGGTTTAGATTTCAGTGAAACTCTGGTATGACCTAAAATAGTATTTAGACACTAATATAACTTTCATGCCCATTTTGATATGGACTGGAGCATATAGCTATCTCCTTTACTACCTTAAAAAGGAAATGAGAATAGTAACCAACCCATTTTATTCTCTGAGGAGATCTAAATATTCATAGGGAAGCCCCAACAAGCATCTATAAAAATATGGGAAAACCCTTGTGCCCTGTCTCTTGTTAATCCCACAGTTAGTACTGATGTCTGGGGTTCACTTTTTAATGTCATATAAAGTGTATAACAAAGCCGATACCCTTTGACTAGCAGGGGAAAAGGTTTAAACCTTTAGGTACTGTGTGTTGTGTCAGATCACTACTTTTTCTGAGTCAGACTTCAAGAGAAATGCTGTCAAAAATTAGTTACCTGTTTAACATAGAAGAAGTATCCATAACCGAGCTTATTAAAACCATTTTCAGGTGACCCAAGTTTAAAAAGTGGGAATGGCATCCCCAGTCGCTGTGTGTATTTGGAAGAAATGGCAGTTGACCTGGAAGATCAAGACTGGCTTGATATGAACAATGTTGAGCAGGTAACATTCTTCTGTCATTTACCTGTGCCCTCAGCAAAATTAGCCCAGCCATGCGACTGTTCCCCTTCCAACAGCCGTGACTTGGCATACCTCCCTCGCTTTGTGCTCTTCCTCTTTGGAGTCGTCTCATCTACCGTGACCATGTGTCCAAATCTCCCATCCTTCAAGATCCAGTTAATTCCATCTTATTTATAAGGCCTTGCCAGGTAGGCTTCTCTGAGTTCTAGAGTAATCTATTT